ATATACTAAATAACTTAGTATTTTCCATGGTGTTACAACCTTAACGGCGAATGGGTTGTCGGAAACGGTGACGACAGAGTCAAACAGAGACGAAGGTAGGCAATGAAGAAGAAGAGTGTATGAGGAAAGCCAAAGAAATGAAAATGAAATGTGTGCATAAAGGAGAGGGAAAGTGCTTTCAAAACGGGAACGTGGACGGATGTGGCACGGGCAGAGAAACGACAAAAATAATGAGCATCAAATGAAGCCCATTATGATGGGTACAACCATCATTACAAAACCGTTAGTGCCCATTAACACGCCGCCTGCACTTTTCGAAGAACGAGGTGACACTTATGACACATGGCGTCACGTCGAGGAAGCGTACACGAAGAGTCATGACCCCTTGTCGAACTCGGCATTAACTCCTCGACCCACGGCCTTTGAAGCTTGAGGGGCTAGTGTACTATCCGTACCGCGAAGCCGAGCTCGAGCTCGGCATCACAGCGCAGATTGACATCGGACACGTGCTAGGCGACATCGGCCAAGACAAGGCCCACTATCTAAATAGGTCATAACTAATCTCAAGCCCAAGGCCCAATGAAACCCTAATTCACACACAAAGGTACTGATAGACTATGGCCAAGGCCAAGGAATCCAAGAGGTGATATCTTAAAAGAACCAAGAGGAATGGGATGATCTTAAAGACCTTTTTCATATATTTTGTACATAGTTCCTTTGTATAGGTCTAATTTTGCCTTTGTATTTGTGAGGCACTTTACTTACTTTTAATTAGTGATTGTATATTGATTTTAGGGTGGGTTACTTGGAGAGTTTAACTCCATTTAACCTCCTTTGTTGATACATTCATTTTATATTTTTTCAGTAGGGAAAAAGGGGTGGCATTTAGCAATGCTTGAGGGTGTGACTAGTAATTTAGCTAGGTCTCATCATCATTTGATGAACCTAACTAAACCAAATCAACAATTTTTGAAATAATTCAAAGGAGGAAATGGAGCCTTGGCCGCCTAGCTCACTTGTTTCTCTTTGGCCGAAATTTCTATGCTACTCTTCTTGGTTTTTGAAGCTTCTCCTCCAAGTTTCTAAACCTTGGTATGTTAGGCTGACCTTACCATGGTTCTTAAGTGAACTATGGTCAAGGTTAGCTTCTCCTACAAGTTTTAGAAACCATGGATGGTTAGCTCCACCATACCATGGTTCCTAGTGAACCATGGTTAAGGTTAGCTTCTCCTAGAAGCTACCTCTCCCTATAAATTTGTAAATCCTTCTCATGTAATCACTTTTGAACATTTTGAGAAATAGAAATCAGATTTCTTTCTCATTCAAGAGTCTTATAAACCGTAGAGAACTCTCTCTCTAAGGTTTCTATCAAAGTTTCTTCAAACTTTGCCTTGGTTCCTCAAGCTTCCTTCACAAGCTAGGAAGTAACCGAACCTACTCCATTGTTTCTCCACCATTGGAGAATCCTCCAAGGTGATTCCTCCACCTCAAGGAGTTCAACCTCAAGAGTTTCTTCGGTCCTTGCATGGAGAACTTGGAAGAACAACAATCTTCTCCAAGTAGTTCCATCAGGTACGTGCATTACTTATACGAGACTCATACACCCACAAACACTAACTTTAGCATCGGAGTCTCTTTTGCAGGTATCACCCCTGCCTTGGAACAACAAGCGTATCCAGTAAAGGAGGCACACCAATTTTGCCTAGCAGATCGTCCCCTACGAACGATCTCCGGTAAGAACAATTACAAAATTTTAAAAGGGATAGTAACAAAAAAAAATTACAATGATTGAAAGGATATTTACAATTATATTATTATTTTCAACCTATTTAGCAAATATTTTAAAATTTTAATAAAAAAGTCAATATGTAGTTATTTCTGGTGAATTTGAAATATCTTTTTGCAATTCATATATCTTATGTTTAAAATAAAATAAAATAAAAGTGTCAATATTAAAGTATAGCAAATATATAATATCTTAATTTACATATATATATATATAACATAATTATTACAGTATATTGGATGTATAAATAGATATTTAAATAATTTATTTAATATTTATGTAAATATATATTTTTAAATAAAATCAAATATTAATACATTTATTGTCTGTTACACGGGCCTACCCACTAGTTCGATACAATGCTTCATTTTAGTTGTTGTTTGCCACGTGAAATCTCCGGCACAAAACAAAACCTAGAGTCCTTCGTTTACGTTCCCTCGCGACACACGTGGGTAATAAAAAAATAATTAAAAGCGAAAATCCGCTATAAATGAAGGCTTGTTTTGTATAGCAAAACGCAGCGTCTAACAATGGGTCTTCCTCATGCACTCTTCCTTCTCTTCTCTCTCACTCTCAGTCTCATCTCCACTCATGCATCATTCTCCCACCAGTCCCACATCGAGCTACCCTCACACAAGCAGCACTGCGCAGGGAAGCTCACCCACATCCACTTCTTCTACCACGACATAAGAAACGACAACAGCCCCTCCATCGTGCAAATCGTGGAGACTCCGAAGAACGTTCCGAACGGGTTCGGTTCCACTTTCGTGATGGACGATGTGATGACGGAAGGGCCGGAGCTGGGGTCGAAGCGCGTTGGAAGGGCCCAGGGGCTGTTTGGCTTGGCCTCTCTTGAGGACCTTGGGATGTTCATGCTCACCAACTTCGCTTTCACCCATGGTCACTACGCCGGAAGCACCTTGAGCATGCTCGGGAGGAACCCCATTACCGACCAAAATAGGGAAATGCCCATTGTTGGTGGCACCGGCGCGTTTAGATTTGCCACTGGCTATGCCATTGCGAATAGCCTTCATTCCATTTCTACCCCTGACCATTTTGTGGTGGAGTACAATATTACGGTGCGTCATTCCTCATGGGATCATTAACTCATTGTATTTGCCACCTTTAGTACACTATTGTTTTCACCTTTCAACTAATGTGTTAACCACTTCACCTAGTTAGATTGTGCCATGCAATTTTACTTTTGCATTGTTTTCGGAACAAGTACTTACTATATACTCTCAAATTTTGGGTTAAAATTGGTGCTAGTCTATGTATTTTAAAAAGAAAATTTCTACCAACTCCGAAAATGGACTGGTTGAGCAATTTGGGGTAGTTTTTAAAACTAATTACGTAAATGGGATTGTTTTGAAACTATTTACACTTCTGGGATAGTTTACTACAGTGTCACTATGACCCATAGCGACACTAATGTCACGTGTAATTTTTTTTGTAACTACAAACAACTTAAATTTAGTTAGTAGAAGTCGCTACAGGCTGCAACGATTTTACTAATGTCGTTATAGGCTTCTTCCATATTTTAAAAATATAATTTTCTTTTATATAATATAAATTTTGTTATTAAAAAAATGTATTTTAAAAATGTTAAAAAAACGTAGAAGAATTAAAAAATAAATTTTTGTAAGAAATAATGGGTAAAATATATATATATATATATGGAGAGAAAAAAATTAAAAAAAATAAGGTCGCTATGACCCATAGCAACTCTAGTGAAGGATAAATATTAAAAATAAATCTAGAAAATATTAAAAAAAAAGATAAATATTAAAAGGAAAAAAATAGTGAAGGAAAAAAATCTAAAAAAATGTAGAAAAAAGAAACGAGTATATGTTTTATCTTTGAAAGACCCAACTTTTTTTTCTGCCTTTTGTTTTTGTGACTAGAAGTCAGTTAGTGAAAATTTCATACATGAAACCTTATTATACATTTGGAATTAGATGTTACCTTTTCCTACAAAAAACTTTGTCTTGGTTCCATTTTAATGTTTTCCAATGCTAGATAGCTACTTTCGATTTTGAAAAGCACAATTCAAATTAAACATTGTGAACCGGGGCTAAAAGACAAACATAGCCAAAAATATCCCAGGCAATGTGGTTATGGCCTAGATCTCCTTTTTTTTAATTTTTTTTCTTTACAATTTTTTCTTGGATAAATTAATTTTACAATTTGTTATTTTTTCTTCTGCGTTTTTTTAACATTTTTTCCTTCGGTTTATTTTATCATTTATATTTTATATATTTTTAATATATTTTTTATGGACTATCACAGGAGGCGTTATGGTCCAAAGCGACACAATGTCGCTATGTGCCATAGCGACCTCCTTTTTTTTTTTTTTTTTTTTATTTTTTTTTACTTTTTATTTTA